ATCTATTGTTGGTTTTCAGTCCAAAGAACTCCTTTTAGTATTTTTTGTAAGGTTGGTCTGGTTTTTACAAATTCTTTTAACTTCTGTTTATCTGGAAATGTCATAATTTTGCTATCATATTTGAGGGAAAATTTTGCTTGATATATGTTTCTTGGCTGGCAATTTTTTTTTTCAGAGTTTCATATATGTAATCCTATTGTCTTCTCACCTATCAGGTTTCTACTGAGAAATCAGAGCTTAGTCTTATTAGCTCTCCTTTGTATATAACTTTTCATTTCCCCCCAATTGCTCTTAGGATTATCCTTGTTTTTGGTTTTGAAATGTTTGATTATATGTATTGGTGATTTTCTTTAGAGGTCTATTCTATCGAGTTCAGTAAACTTCCTAAATAACTCATTAACTGTCATGTTATTAGGGAAGTTTTCTTACAACAATTCTTCAATAATTTTCTGTTTTTTCTTTTGTTTCTTCCTGTTCTGGAATTCCAATCACAGGTAAGTTATTCTACTTGATAGTGCTGCACATAAATATTAGGCTTTCTCCAGATTTATCATTGTTGTTGTTTTTTCTGACTGTTCCTCTAGTAAATGAATTTTAAGAGATTTGTCTTAAAGCTCATTAATGTGGTTTTTTCCTTCGTTGATTCAATTGTACTTCTTTGCTCTTTTAATGTATTATCTTTCTGAATTCTTAGTCTTTTAGCTTTATTTTTGCTGTTGTGAGTTTTTTTTTTCTTATGGTTTCCAATTTTTTCATTTATTTTATCAATTTGTTCTTGCAGTGATTTCCCAAACATTTCTAAAGTTTTGACTGTTTTTTTTTTTTATTTCATCTGCAGTTTTCTCAATCATTCTTTCAGTCTGTTGAAGGTACTCAATATCGTAACCATATCTGTTATTATAGTCAGAATAATCCGCCCCCCCCTTTTTTTAAGGTTTTTATTGTGGATTGAGTGAAAGTACACAGGGCAGTTCTCAGTTTTACATTCAACAAATCATATACCTTGTTTCATTACAATGATTATAATCCCCTCCATGTATCATCAGTTAACAGTATTTCTCTCTATTCAATTTAGCTTTAAAACAAAACAAAACAAAAAAACCCACTCAGGTATATATAATAATTTACACCTCCAAAGGGCACATTCTGACTCCTGGCCACCGGCTCTTAGTCCTTCTCTTCCCATGAATCTAGAGTCCTCAGCTGCTCCCTGTCTCCATGTCCCCATCTCTGGATAAGGTTACGCATTCTGTTTGTGCTCTTCACCCTTGCTGGTCCTAGGGTCCTCTGTTTCTGGACTATAAGATTAACCACTCCCCTGTTTCCTGTTTTTGTTACAAAACTTCTATGTTTACAATAGTGAGAGTT